AGAGCATGCAGCTTGAACCTCGGGTCCAAGATCCAAATGGTTTGGGAGCGACGGCGTTTCAACTTTTGCCCCAAGTACGAGTTTCGTGAGCATTTTCCCATAAAAGCACATGCTCTTCCTACCTTTGTCGCACTTTTCCACCAAGCTGTATGCCATTTTTTTTGCATGGCTAATTAGTGCATGGTCTCTAGAGCATGCAGCTTGAACCTCGGGTCCAAGATCCAAATGGTTTGGGAGCGACGGCGTTTCAACTTTTGCCCCAAGTACGAGTTTCGTGAGCATTTTCCCATAAAAGCACATGCTCTTCCTACCTTTGTCGCACTTTTCCACCAAGCTGTATGCCATTTTTTTTTGCATGGCTAATTAGTGCATGGTCTCTAGAGCATGCAGCTTGAACCTCGGGTCCAAGATCCAAATGGTTTGGGAGCGACGGCGTTTCAACTTTTGCCCCAAGTACGAGTTTCGTGAGCATTTTCCCATAAAAGCACATGCTCTTCCTACCTTTGTCGCACTTTTCCACCAAGCTGTATGCCATTTTTTTTTGCATGGCTAGTTAGTGCATGGTCTCTAGAGCATGCAGCTTGAACCTCGGGTCCAAGATCCAAATGGTTTGGGAGCGACGGCGTTTCAACTTTTGCCCCAAGTACGAGTTTCGTGAGCATTTTCCCATAAAAGCACATGCTCTTCCTACCTTTGTCGCACTTTTCCACCAAGCTGTATGCCATTTTTTTTTGCATGGCTAGTTAGTGCATGGTCTCTAGAGCATGCAGCTTGAACCTCGGGTCCAAGATCCAAATGGTTTGGGAGCGACGGCGTTTCAACTTTTGCCCCAAGTACGAGTTTCGTGAGCATTTTCCCATAAAAGCACATGCTCTTCCTACCTTTGTCGCACTTTTCCACCAAGCTGTATGCCATTTTTTTTTGCATGGCTAATTAGTGCATGGTCTCTAGAGCATGCAGCTTGAACCTCGGGTCCAAGATCCAAATGGTTTGGGAGCGACGGCGTTTCAACTTTTGCCCCAAGTACGAGTTTCGTGAGCATTTTCCCATAAAAGCACATGCTCTTCCTACCTTTGTCGCACTTTTCCACCAAGCTGTATGCCATTTTTTTTTGCATGGCTAATTAGTGCATGGTCTCTAGAGCATGCAGCTTGAACCTCGGGTCCAAGATCCAAATGGTTTGGGAGCGACGGCGTTTCAACTTTTGCCCCAAGTACGAGTTTCGTGAGCATTTTCCCATAAAAGCACATGCTCTTCCTACCTTTGTCGCACTTTTCCACCAAGCTGTATGCCATTTGTTTTTTGCATGGCTAGTTAGTGCATGGTCTCTAGAGCATGCAGCTTGAACCTCGGGTCCAAGATCCAAATGGTTTGGGAGCGACGGCGTTTCAACTTTTGCCCCAAGTACGAGTTTCGTGAGCATTTTCCCATAAAAGCACATGCTCTTCCTACCTTTGTCGCACTTTTCCACCAAGCTGTATGCCATTTGTTTTTGCATGGCTAATTAGTGCATGGTCTCTAGAGCATGCAGCTTGAACCTCGGGTCCAAGATCCAAATGGTTTGGGAGCGACGGCGTTTCAACTTTTGCCCCAAGTACGAGTTTCGTGAGCATTTTCCCATAAAAGCACATGCTCTTCCTACCTTTGTCGCACTTTTCCACCAAGCTGTATGCCATTTTTTTTTGCATGGCTAATTAGTGCATGGTCTCTAGAGCATGCAGCTTGAACCTCGGGTCCAAGATCCAAATGGTTTGGGAGCGACGGCGTTTCAACTTTTGCCCCAAGTACGAGTTTCGTGAGCATTTTCCCATAAAAGCACATGCTCTTCCTACCTTTGTCGCACTTTTCCACCAAGCTGTATGCCATTTTTTTTTGCATGGCTAATTAGTGCATGGTCTCTAGAGCATGCAGCTTGAACCTCGGGTCCAAGATCCAAATGGTTTGGGAGCGACGGCGTTTCAACTTTTGCCCCAAGTACGAGTTTCGTGAGCATTTTCCCATAAAAGCACATGCTCTTCCTACCTTTGTCGCACTTTTCCACCAAGCTGTATGCCATTTGTTTTTGCATGGCTAGTTAGTGCATGGTCTCTAGAGCATGCAGCTTGAACCTCGGGTCCAAGATCCAAATGGTTTGGGAGCGACGGCGTTTCAACTTTTGCCCCAAGTACGAGTTTCGTGAGCATTTTCCCATAAAAGCACATGCTCTTCCTACCTTTGTCGCACTTTTCCACCAAGCTGTATGCCATTTTTTTTTGCATGGCTAATTAGTGCATGGTCTCTAGAGCATGCAGCTTGAACCTCGGGTCCAAGATCCAAATGGTTTGGGAGCGACGGCGTTTCAACTTTTGCCCCAAGTACGAGTTTCGTGAGCATTTTCCCATAAAAGCACATGCTCTTCCTACCTTTGTCGCACTTTTCCACCAAGCTGTATGCCATTTTTTTTTGCATGGCTAATTAGTGCATGGTCTCTAGAGCATGCAGCTTGAACCTCGGGTCCAAGATCCAAATGGTTTGGGAGCGACGGCGTTTCAACTTTTGCCCCAAGTACGAGTTTCGTGAGCATTTTCCCATAAAAGCACATGCTCTTCCTACCTTTGTCGCACTTTTCCACCAAGCTGTATGCCATTTTTTTTTGCATGGCTAATTAGTGCATGGTCTCTAGAGCATGCAGCTTGAACCTCGGGTCCAAGATCCAAATGGTTTGGGAGCGACGGCGTTTCAACTTTTGCCCCAAGTACGAGTTTCGTGAGCATTTTCCCATAAAAGCACATGCTCTTCCTACCTTTGTCGCACTTTTCCACCAAGCTGTATGCCATTTGTTTTTGCATGGCTAGTTAGTGCATGGTCTCTAGAGCATGCAGCTTGAACCTCGGGTCCAAGATCCAAATGGTTTGGGAGCGACGGCGTTTCAACTTTTGCCCCAAGTACGAGTTTCGTGAGCATTTTCCCATAAAAGCACATGCTCTTCCTACCTTTGTCGCACTTTTCCACCAAGCTGTATGCCATTTGTTTTTGCATGGCTAGTTAGTGCATGGTCTCTAGAGCATGCAGCTTGAACCTCGGGTCCAAGATCCAAATGGTTTGGGAGCGACGGCGTTTCAACTTTTGCCCCAAGTACGAGTTTCGTGAGCATTTTCCCATAAAAGCACATGCTCTTCCTACCTTTGTCGCACTTTTCCACCAAGCTGTATGCCATTTGTTTTTGCATGGCTAGTTAGTGCATGGTCTCTAGAGCATGCAGCTTGAACCTCGGGTCCAAGATCCAAATGGTTTGGGAGCGACGGCGTTTCAACTTTTGCCCCAAGTACGAGTTTCGTGAGCATTTTCCCATAAAAGCACATGCTCTTCCTACCTTTGTCGCACTTTTCCACCAAGCTGTATGCCATTTTTTTTTGCATGGCTAATTAGTGCATGGTCTCTAGAGCATGCAGCTTGAACCTCGGGTCCAAGATCCAAATGGTTTGGGAGCGACGGCGTTTCAACTTTTGCCCCAAGTACGAGTTTCGTGAGCATTTTCCCATAAAAGCACATGCTCTTCCTACCTTTGTCGCACTTTTCCACCAAGCTGTATGCCATTTGTTTTTGCATGGCTAGTTAGTGCATGGTCTGTAGAGCATGCAGCTTGAACCTCGGGTCCAGGATCCAAATGGTTTGGGAGCGACGGCGTTTCAACTTTTGCCCCAAGTACGAGTTTCGTGAGCATTTTCCCATAAAAGCACATGCTCTTCCTACCTTTGTCGCACTTTTCCACCAAGCTGTATGCCATTTGTTTTTGCATGGCTAGTTAGTGCATGGTCTCTAGAGCATGCAGCTTGAACCTCGGGTCCAAGATCCAAATGGTTTGGGAGCGACGGCGTTTCAACTTTTGCCCCAAGTACGAGTTTTGTAAGCATTTTCCCATAAAAGCACATGCTCTTCCTAACTTTGTCGCACTTTTCCACCAAGCTGTATGCCATTTGTTTTTGCATGGCTAATTAGTGCATGGTCTCTAGAGCATGCAGCTTGAACCTCGGGTCCAAGATCCAAATGGTTTGGGAGCGACGGCGTTTCAACTTTTGCCCCAAGTACGAGTTTCGTGAGCATTTTCCCATAAAAGCACATGCTCTTCCTACCTTTGTCGCACTTTTCCACCAAGCTGTATGCCATTTGTTTTTGCATGGCTAGTTAGTGCATGGTCTCTAGAGCATGCAGCTTGAACCTCGGGTCCAAGATCCAAATGGTTTGGGAGCGACGGCGTTTCAACTTTTGCCCCAAGTACGAGTTTCGTGAGCATTTTCCCATAAAAGCACATGCTCTTCCTACCTTTGTCGCACTTTTCCACCAAGCTGTATGCCATTTGTTTTTGCATGGCTAGTTAGTGCATGGTCTGTAGAGCATGCAGCTTGAACCTCGGGTCCAAGATCCAAATGGTTTGGGAGCGACGGCGTTTCAACTTTTGCCCCAAGTACGAGTTTCGTGAGCATTTTCCCATAAAAGCACATGCTCTTCCTACCTTTGTCGCACTTTTCCACCAAGCTGTATGCCATTTGTTTTTGCATGGCTATTAGTGCATGGTCTCTAGAGCATGCAGCTTGAACCTCGGGTCCAAGATCCAAATGGTTTGGGAGCGACGGCGTTTCAACTTTTGCCCCAAGTACGAGTTTCGTGAGCATTTTCCCATAAAAGCACATGCTCTTCCTACCTTTGTCGCACTTTTCCACCAAGCTGTATGCCATTTGTTTTTGCATGGCTAGTTAGTGCATGGTCTCTAGAGCATGCAGCTTGAACCTCGGGTCCAAGATCCAAATGGTTTGGGAGCGACGGCGTTTCAACTTTTGCCCCAAGTACGAGTTTCGTGAGCATTTTCCCATAAAAGCACATGCTCTTCCTACCTTTGTCGCACTTTTCCACCAAGCTGTATGCCATTTGTTTTTGCATGGCTAGTTAGTGCATGGTCTCTAGAGCATGCAGCTTGAACCTCGGGTCCAAGATCCAAATGGTTTGGGAGCGACGGCGTTTCAACTTTTGCCCCAAGTACGAGTTTCGTGAGCATTTTCCCATAAAAGCACATGCTCTTCCTACCTTTGTCGCACTTTTCCACCAAGCTGTATCCCATTTGTTTTTGCATGGCTAGTTAGTGCATGGTCTGTAGAGCATGCAGCTTGAACCTCGGGTCCAAGATCCAAATGGTTTGGGAGCGACGGCGTTTCAACTTTTGCCCCAAGTACGAGTTTCGTAAGCATTTTCCCATAAAAGCACATGCTCTTCCTACCTTTGTCGCACTTTTCCACCAAGCTGTATGCCATTTGTTTTTGCATGGCTAATAAGTGCATGGTCTCTAGAGCATGCAGCTTGAACCTCGGGTCCAAGATCCAAATGGTTTGGGAGCGACGGCGTTTCAACTTTTGCCCCAAGTACGAGTTTCGTGAGCATTTTCCCATAAAAGCACATGCTCTTCCTACCTTTGTCGCACTTTTCCACCAAGCTGTATGCCATTTGTTTTTGCATGGCTAGTTAGTGCATGGTCTGTAGAGCATGCAGCTTGAACCTCGGGTCCAGATCCAAATGGTTTGGGAGCGACGGCGTTTCAACTTTTGCCCCAAGTACGAGTTTCGTGAGCATTTTCCCATAAAAGCACATGCTCTTCCTACCTTTGTCGCACTTTTCCACCAAGCTGTATGCCATTTGTTTTTGCATGGCTAATAAGTGCATGGTCTCTAGAGCATGCAGCTTGAACCTCGGGTCCAAGATCCAAATGGTTTGGGAGCGACGGCGTTTCAACTTTTGCCCCAAGTACGAGTTTCGTGAGCATTTTCCCATAAAAGCACATGCTCTTCCTACCTTTGTCGCACTTTTCCACCAAGCTGTATGCCATTTGTTTTTGCATGGCTAATAAGTGCATGGTCTCTAGAGCATGCAGCTTGAACCTCGGGTCCAAGATCCAAATGGTTTGGGAGCGACGGCGTTTCAACTTTTGCCCCAAGTACGAGTTTCGTGAGCATTTTCCCATAAAAGCACATGCTCTTCCTACCTTTGTCGCACTTTTCCACCAAGCTGTATGCCATTTTTTTTTGCATGGCTAGTTAGTGCATGGTCTGTAGAGCATGCAGCTTGAACCTCGGGTACAAGATCCAAACGGTTTGGGAGCGACGGCGTTTCAACTTTTGCCCCAAGTACGAGTTTCGTGAGCATTTTCTCATAAAAGCACATGCTCTTCCTACCTTTGTCGCACTTTTCCACCAAGCTGTATGCCATTTGTTTTTGCATGGCTAGTTAGTGCATGGTCTGTAGAGCATGCAGCTTGAACCTCGGGTCCAAGATCCAAATGGTTTGGGAGCGACGGCGTTTCAACTTTTGCCCCAAGTACGAGTTTCGTAAGCATTTTCCCATAAAAGCACATGCTCTTCCTACCTTTGTCGCACTTTTCCACCAAGCTGTATGCCATTTGTTTTTGCATGGCTAATAAGTGCATGGTCTCTAGAGCATGCAGCTTGAACCTCGGGTCCAAGATCCAAATGGTTTGGGAGCGACGGCGTTTCAACTTTTGCCCCAAGTACGAGTTTCGTGAGCATTTTCCCATAAAAGCACATGCTCTTCCTACCTTTGTCGCACTTTTCCACCAAGCTGTATGCCATTTTTTTTTGCATGGCTAGTTAGTGCATGGTCTGTAGAGCATGCAGCTTGAACCTCGGGTACAAGATCCAAACGGTTTGGGAGCGACGGCGTTTCAACTTTTGCCCCAAGTACGAGTTTCGTGAGCATTTTCTCATAAAAGCACATGCTCTTCCTACCTTTGTCGCACTTTTCCACCAAGCTGTATGCCATTTGTTTTTGCATGGCTAGTTAGTGCATGGTCTGTAGAGCATGCAGCTTGAACCTCGGGTCCAAGATCCAAATGGTTTGGGAGCGACGGCGTTTCAACTTTTGCCCCAAGTACGAGTTTCGTAAGCATTTTCCCATAAAAGCACATGCTCTTCCTACCTTTGTCGCACTTTTCCACCAAGCTGTATGCCATTTGTTTTTGCATGGCTAATAAGTGCATGGTCTCTAGAGCATGCAGCTTGAACCTGTTGTGTGATGTCATCATATGCTATCACATTCTGTCTGCCTCCCATCCCATGTTTTCAACTTGCATGTGTGGTTTGAACGTGTGCAAGAATTTGTGTGTGATGTGTTCTGGAGTTTGGGAATGTGTTTTGTGTTATTTTGTTTGAGCAGGTTTTTTGTGATGATAGATCTTGAGAAGATCTTTCCGACGCAACGAGAATCCCTTCAATCGGAGCAAGAACGCGAAAGCTATGAAGATTCAAAGTTCATGAGCTTGCGTTACAATTGCGGCGGTTACAAAGTGAAGTTGTGGGGTGACTTTATATGGAGTTGGGACCTTTGGGGGTTGGGGAAATTTGTCACTCTACTGTAACAGCTGCAAATTGGTTGGGAACAACCAAGCTAGGTTGGCAAGGGTGGCCAACTTGGATGGATTGGTTGGGGAGGGACAAATGTCAAAGTTGGGGTTCCTATAGGGAGGGAATCTTTGTGCTTATGGGGTTTCCTTGGTTGGGGACTCTCTTGGGACCTTCCCTCTCATCCCTATCTTCTATCCCAACCTTTCTCTTGCTCCTCTAATTCCTTGTGAGATTCTTGAACTTTGATTGAACCTTTTGAGATTGAGTTAAGTTCTCCTCCTACAGCTTACCCCCTAGTGCGTCGAAAGCCATAGCGTCGCGAATACTTCATCAATCAACATGATTCAAATTGGGAACGGTAGCTGAGATTAAGAGCTACAACATATCCAAGTTTCGCGACATTCCAAAGGCTAGTTTTTTGTCGACGTCGTTTCTTGTGAAGACGACTTTTCTGTCCAGAATTTCGGATTTATATTTTGAGTAATTCTAGCTCCTAAGTTCACCTAGACTCCGTCCTTAATCCTAACAGAACCTCGGGTCCAAGATCCAAATGGTTTGGGAGCGACGGCGTTTCAACTTTTGCCCCAAGTACGAGTTTCGTGAGCATTTTCCCATAAAAGCACATGCTCTTCCTACCTTTGTCGCACTTTTCCACCAAGCTGTATGCCATTTTTTTTTGCATGGCTAGTTAGTGCATGGTCTGTAGAGCATGCAGCTTGAACCTCGGGTACAAGATCCAAACGGTTTGGGAGCGACGGCGTTTCAACTTTTGCCCCAAGTACGAGTTTCGTGAGCATTTTCCCATAAAAGCACATGCTCTTCCTACCTTTGTCGCACTTTTCCACCAAGCTGTATCCCATTTGTTTTTGCATGGCTAGTTAGTGCATGGTCTGTAGAGCATGCAGCTTGAACCTCGGGTCCAAGATCCAAATGGTTTGGGAGCGACGGCGTTTCAACTTTTGCCCCAAGTACGAGTTTCGTAAGCATTTTCCCATAAAAGCACATGCTCTTCCTACCTTTGTCGCACTTTTCCACCAAGCTGTATGCCATTTGTTTTTGCATGGCTAATAAGTGCATGGTCTCTAGAGCATGCAGCTTGAACCTCGGGTCCAAGATCCAAATGGTTTGGGAGCGACGGCGTTTCAACTTTTGCCCCAAGTACGAGTTTCGTGAGCATTTTCCCATAAAAGCACATGCTCTTCCTACCTTTGTCGCACTTTTCCACCAAGCTGTATGCCATTTGTTTTTGCATGGCTAGTTAGTGCATGGTCTGTAGAGCATGCAGCTTGAACCTCGGGTCCAGGATCCAAATGGTTTGGGAGCGACGGCGTTTCAACTTTTGCCCCAAGTACGAGTTTCGTGAGCATTTTCCCATAAAAGCACATGCTCTTCCTACCTTTGTCGCACTTTTCCACCAAGCTGTATGCCATTTGTTTTTGCATGGCTAATAAGTGCATGGTCTCTAGAGCATGCAGCTTGAACCTCGGGTCCAAGATCCAAATGGTTTGGGAGCGACGGCGTTTCAACTTTTGCCCCAAGTACGAGTTTCGTGAGCATTTTCCCATAAAAGCACATGCTCTTCCTACCTTTGTCGCACTTTTCCACCAAGCTGTATGCCATTTGTTTTTGCATGGCTAATAAGTGCATGGTCTCTAGAGCATGCAGCTTGAACCTCGGGTCCAAGATCCAAATGGTTTGGGAGCGACGGCGTTTCAACTTTTGCCCCAAGTACGAGTTTCGTGAGCATTTTCCCATAAAAGCACATGCTCTTCCTACCTTTGTCGCACTTTTCCACCAAGCTGTATGCCAATTTTTTTTTGCATGGCTAGTTAGTGCATGGTCTGTAGAGCATGCAGCTTGAACCTCGGGTACAAGATCCAAACGGTTTGGGAGCGACGGCGTTTCAACTTTTGCCCCAAGTACGAGTTTCGTGAGCATTTTCTCATAAAAGCACATGCTCTTCCTACCTTTGTCGCACTTTTCCACCAAGCTGTATGCCATTTGTTTTTGCATGGCTAGTTAGTGCATGGTCTGTAGAGCATGCAGCTTGAACCTCGGGTCCAAGATCCAAATGGTTTGGGAGCGACGGCGTTTCAACTTTTGCCCCAAGTACGAGTTTCGTAAGCATTTTCCCATAAAAGCACATGCTCTTCCTACCTTTGTCGCACTTTTCCACCAAGCTGTATGCCATTTGTTTTTGCATGGCTAATAAGTGCATGGTCTCTAGAGCATGCAGCTTGAACCTCGGGTCCAAGATCCAAATGGTTTGGGAGCGACGGCGTTTCAACTTTTGCCCCAAGTACGAGTTTCGTGAGCATTTTCCCATAAAAGCACATGCTCTTCCTACCTTTGTCGCACTTTTCCACCAAGCTGTATGCCATTTTTTTTTGCATGGCTAGTTAGTGCATGGTCTGTAGAGCATGCAGCTTGAACCTCGGGTACAAGATCCAAACGGTTTGGGAGCGACGGCGTTTCAACTTTTGCCCCAAGTACGAGTTTCGTGAGCATTTTCTCATAAAAGCACATGCTCTTCCTACCTTTGTCGCACTTTTCCACCAAGCTGTATGCCATTTGTTTTTGCATGGCTAGTTAGTGCATGGTCTGTAGAGCATGCAGCTTGAACCTCGGGTCCAAGATCCAAATGGTTTGGGAGCGACGGCGTTTCAACTTTTGCCCCAAGTACGAGTTTCGTAAGCATTTTCCCATAAAAGCACATGCTCTTCCTACCTTTGTCGCACTTTTCCACCAAGCTGTATGCCATTTGTTTTTGCATGGCTAATAAGTGCATGGTCTCTAGAGCATGCAGCTTGAACCTGTTGTGTGATGTCATCATATGCTATCACATTCTGTCTGCCTCCCATCCCATGTTTTCAACTTGCATGTGTGGTTTGAACGTGTGCAAGAATTTGTGTGTGATGTGTTCTGGAGTTTGGGAATGTGTTTTGTGTTATTTTGTTTGAGCAGGTTTTTTGTGATGATAGATCTTGAGAAGATCTTTCCGACGCAACGAGAATCCCTTCAATCGGAGCAAGAACGCGAAAGCTATGAAGATTCAAAGTTCATGAGCTTGCGTTACAATTGCGGCGGTTACAAAGTGAAGTTGTGGGGTGACTTTATATGGAGTTGGGACCTTTGGGGGTTGGGGAAATTTGTCACTCTACTGTAACAGCTGCAAATTGGTTGGGAACAACCAAGCTAGGTTGGCAAGGGTGGCCAACTTGGATGGATTGGTTGGGGAGGGACAAATGTCAAAGTTGGGGTTCCTATAGGGAGGGAATCTTTGTGCTTATGGGGTTTCCTTGGTTGGGGACTCTCTTGGGACCTTCCCTCTCATCCCTATCTTCTATCCCAACCTTTCTCTTGCTCCTCTAATTCCTTGTGAGATTCTTGAACTTTGATTGAACCTTTTGAGATTGAGTTAAGTTCTCCTCCTACAGCTTACCCCCTAGTGCGTCGAAAGCCATAGCGTCGCGAATACTTCATCAATCAACATGATTCAAATTGGGAACGGTAGCTGAGATTAAGAGCTACAACATATCCAAGTTTCGCGACATTCCAACGGCTAGTTTTTTGTCGACGTCGTTTCTTGTGAAGACGACTTTTCTGTCCAGAATTTCGGATTTATATTTTGAGTAATTCTAGCTCCTAAGTTCACCTAGACTCCGTCCTTAATCCTAACAAGTGGTATCAGAGCGATATTAAGGACATTGAGAGGAGTCTACAGAAGTGTGAAGACCCTTCTAGACCCACCATGGCCTGTGGGTGTGCCTAAGTGGTGTTCTAAAGGTTGGATGTGTCTTCCGCTAAGGGGAAACTCTGCCGAAATTTCGTGGACGGCGATACTTGTGAAAATATCGAGGGAGCTGAGTGTGGACAGCAAAGGGGAGCTGAAATTCGTCATTTCTCAAGGAGAAGATGAATGAGAGAGGAGGAGATGCTAATGGAAGAGGAGTTGTAGCTGAGAAGACAAGTGAGCCGCCGCCATCAAAAGTTGAAGCTTTGGATGGCTCCAACTATGAGGAATGGAGCGGACGGATGAGGAGTGCCTTCAAACGCTACAAGCTACTGAAGATTGCTGTTGGGGAGGAGAAGATGTTGGAAGATGACGAAGCACGTGAACCGTGGATTGAGAAAAGCGCGGTGCTTTTCGACCTCATCCTTCAATCTGTCAACAAGGAGATGTTCGAGCACATCAAGGATCTTGTGGAAGCGGATGATTCGGGTCCAAGGGCGTGGAAACTACTACGTGATGTGATTCAGACCAACACTCTCCCAATGGTGATCGTGCTCGAGAAGGAACTTGCTGCCATCTCCATGCGACCAGGGGACGATGTGAAGCCGGTCCTTGACAAGATCAAGGACACCTATGCAAGGATGGCAGCAGCGGGCAGCAGTGTATCTCAGCTGCAGCAGTGCACCAAGATCATCTCGGTGTTGGACAACTCGTGGGATAACCTCATCCCCACCCTCAACTCTCAGCAAGATCAATGGACACCTGAGTGGCTAAGGCAGCAGATTCTGCAGGAGGACTTCCGCAGACGCCATGTGGGAGGCGGTGCTGCCACTAAGACTGCTGAGGGGTATGGAGCTGCAGGGCGCGGCAAAGGAAGAGGGGGTTGGAAAGGCCGAGGCCGTGGGAGGAGCTTTGGCAGAGGTAGAGGCCGAGGTGACTATAATGAGGGGCATGGGAGCTCTGGTGGCAGGGGGAGTACCAGAATGGAGGGCACCTGCTGGTACTGCAAGAAGGTCGGGCATCCTTGGTTCAAGTGCTTCAGCAGGCCGGAGGGATGGGCACCTCCAGGCATGAAGCCGCCCAGTGGTGAACGCGCACAAGGTGGCGCTGTGCAAGGCTCAGGTGCACAAGGTGAAGGTGCACAAGGTAATGCCTATCCTGGTTTGTTTGTTATGGTTGAGGATGTGCATGGACATGAGGGTGATGTGGTATCAGTGGGAAAGGTTGTGATGCACCCTCTCACACACTGGATGATTGATTCAGGGTGCACCAGTCACATGACCCCACGGGCAGATTTGCTTGATGAGGTAAAACCCCTTGGGAAGATCAAGTATGTGGCAGCAGCGTCAGGTGCTTTGCTCCCTGTGATTGGCTTTGGGAATGCCAAGGTTAAGGGAGCTAATGGGGAGCTTGTGGGGCTTGGGAATGTTCTGCTAGTTGAAGGTTTGTCTGCTAACCTTCTCTCTGTGCGGCGACTGCAGAAGAGCAAGGCCGAAGTGACCTTTGGACCAACCAGCTGCCGTGCTAAGCTTGGGAAGAAGGTGCTGTGGAGTCTGGAAGAGGAGACCAGCTGCATCAAGGACCTATGGCAGCTGCCCATCATCCCTTGGAATGGGAAGACTCCAACAACAGCAACGGCAGCAGCGGCAAAGGCAACAGCAGGAGGAGATGCAACTGCACCAACTGATGGGGTCCTGGAAGCAGTCAAGAAAGTGCAGCAGCAGCAGACACATGGTGAGGTGCTTGCTGGTGTGGATGCGAGTGCGGCATGGGCTAAGGCTTCATCAAGGAGTAGAGAGGCCGATTGGGAGACATGGCATGAGAGGCTGTGTCATGTGAACTTCCCGATGCTGCAGAAGTTGGTGAAGGATGGGAGCCTGAAAGGATTGGAGGTGAAAGGGGGAGTGAAGGAGATTGGGAGCTGCCCTACATGCTTGGAGACCAAGTTCTCCAAGTTCCCCTTCAACAGCACTACAGGACCAGCCAAGACCCCACTTGCACTTGTGCACATGGATGTGGTGGGGCCCACAAGAGCCCCTTCCCTCTCAGGCAGCCGCTATTTCTTGACAATTGTGGATGACCACACTCGGGCAGTGTCGGTTTACCCTTTGAAGAGCAAGGGGGAGGTGGCAGCGGCTGTCCTTAAGGAGTGGATGCCGAGAGCTCAGAGGGAATGCGGACACAAGGTGAAGGTGATCCGTAGTGACAATGGTGGGGAGTTCATTGGAGCTGATTTTGAGGGGGAGTTGAAGAGGAAGGGGATCCAGCATCAACTGACAGTGCCCTACAACCCACAGCAGAATGGCGTGGCTGAGAGGTTCAACAGGACCCTGCAGGAGGGGGCACGCACTCTCCTTGGGCGTGCAGGGCTGCCTGATCCATTTTGGGTGTCTGCACTGAGGCAGGTCGCCCTTGTGAAGAACAGGGTGCTGGCTACAGTTGGAGATAAGGAGTGGATCCCATATGTCAAGTGGTATGGGAGTGCTCCAGCTGTGAACATGCTGAGGGCATTTGGGTGCATGGTGGTGTTTCATGTGCCTAAGGAGAAAAGGGGGAAGTTGGAGGCTTCTGGAAGATGGGGTGTGCACTTGGGGATTGCAAAGGATCACAAGGGGTGGCTGCTATGGGACTTGACCACCCAGAAGTTGACAGTGTCAAGGGATGTGAAGTTTCTTGAGTCCCTGTACTACAAGGAATGGAAGCAGCAGCAACAGAAGCTTCCATCTACACCGCTCATTGTGGAGGCAGATGAGGTGCAGCAGCCTTCAAGACAGGTGGAGGTTGCAGTGTCAGAGGAGGAGATGTCTGGGGTGACTGAGGAAGGGGGAGCAGCTGAAGTGGAGCAGCAGCAGCAGCAGGAGCAGCAGCAGCAGCATGAGTCTCCACCTCGAGTTCCACACCCGCCTGAGCGTCCTAGGAGGGATGTGCGCCCTCCTGTGAGGCTGACCTATGGAGGAAGAGGCAAGCCGAATGTGGTGCAGGCTGGGAGTGTGGTTGAGCAGATTGAGGAAGATGAGATCGCTCACTGCTACTGGGCACCAATCCCTGAGCCCAAGACTCGAGAGGAGGCCTTGAATGGACCAAATGGGGAGAAGTGGAAGGCGAGTGAGGATGAGGAGTTCGGGTCCCTGATTGAGAACGAGACATGGGACCTGTGTGACTTGCCTCCTGGGAAGAAGGCAATCACTTCCAAGATGATCTACAGGCACAAGTATGGACCTGAAGGGGAGCTGACCCGCTACAAGTCAAGGCTTGTGGCACGGGGGTTTCAGCAGACAAAGGGGAAGGACTATGATGAGGTGTTTGCTCCTGTGGGGAAAGGAACAACATTGAGGGTGCTATTGGCGATGGCTGCACTCCTGGGATGGAAGATACGGCAGATGGACATTGTGACTGCCTTTCTGAATGGGATCATTCTGGAGGAGGTGTACATGAAGCAGCCAGAGGGGCTGGATGATGGGAGCGGCAGGGTCTGCAGGCTGAAGAAGGCCATCTATGGCCTTAAGCAGGCGCCTCGTGCATGGTATCACAAGTTGGAGGAGGCGCTGTTGGCTGGGGGTTTCAAGAAGAGTGAGTGTGACCCCAGCCTGTTCCTGCTGCAGGAGAAGGATGAAATCCTCATGCTCTTGGTGTACGTGGATGATATCCTTCTCTTTTCTGCATCAACTGCTTTGCTGGACAGCGCAGAGCAGATGCTAGAGATGCAGTTCAAGTGTTCCAAGATGGGTGAGGTGAAGTACTACTTGGGGATGCATGTGGAGAGAGATGTGGAGAAGGGTGTGCTGAGGTTGCACCAGAGGAAGTACTGTGAGGGGCTGGCTGAGAAGTATGGGCTGCAAGATGGGGGAAAGCCAGCAACACCACTACCTTCGGGGTTCACTGTGGAGCCATGTGCTGATGAGGAGGTAGTGGGTGAGAGTGACAGGAAGCTGTTTCATTCGATGGTTGGGTCGCTGAATTATGCTGCAAATCATACACGGCCTGACATTGCATTTGCTACATCACGGTTGGCTAGTGTGGTCTCACGCCCTAGTCATGAGCAGCTGGAAGCGGCCAAGAGGTTGGTCCGCTATGTGAGTGCTACGGCATCAGTGGGATTGGAGTACAGTGGAGTGAGGCAGCGGTTGCAGAGAGGTGCTGCAGATGTGAAGAGTGGAGAGATGCTCTTGAGTTGCTATACTGACGCTAGCTTCAACTCAGTGAAAGCGGATGGCACCAGCATTGGGGGTTATGTGTGCTTGCTGGGAGGTGGTGCTGTGAGCTGGCGCAGCAAGAAGCAAAATGAGGTGGGATTGTCTTCATGTGAGACTGAGTACATGGCCTTACACCATGGGGCCAAGGAAGTGGTATGGCTGAGGCGTCTGTTGGAGGAGTTGGGAGTTGGTCAGGAGGAGCCGACAGTTGTGTTCTGTGACAATGAGTCTGCAGTGAAGCTGGCCAAGAATGCTTGTCTGCATGGTCTGACAAAACACATAAGGCCTAAGTGGCACTGGGTGAGGAGACTCCTTGATAAGGAGGTGCGGCTGGAGATAGTGAAGACCCATCAGCAGGCAGCAGATATTTTCACCAAGCGTCTGGCGGAGGCGGATCATTGGAAGGGCATGAAGCTTGCTGGGATGAGTGTGCATTGAGTATGCATGCTTGAGATGTGGTATGGTGGATGATGGTTGGCAGCCAGAGGGGGAGATTGTTGTGTGATGTCATCATATGCTATCACATTCTGTCTGCCTCCCATCCCATGTTTTCAACTTGCATGTGTGGTTTGAACGTGTGCAAGAATTTGTGTGTGATGTGTTCTGGAGTTTGGGAATGTGTTTTGTGTTATTTTGTTTGAGCAGGTTTTTTGTGATGATAGATCTTGAGAAGATCTTTCCGACGCAACGAGAATCCCTTCAATCGGAGCAAGAACGCGAAAGCTATGAAGATTCAAAGTTCATGAGCTTGCGTTACAATTGCGGCGGTTACAAAGTGAAGTTGTGGGGTGACTTTATATGGAGTTGGGACCTTTGGGGGTTGGGGAAATTTGTCACTCTACTGTAACAGCTGCAAATTGGTTGGGAACAACCAAGCTAGGTTGGCAAGGGTGGCCAACTTGGATGGATTGGTTGGGGAGGGACAAATGTCAAAGTTGGGGTTCCTATAGGGAGGGAATCTTTGTGCTTATGGGGTTTCCTTGGTTGGGGACTCTCTTGGGACCTTCCCTCTCATCCCTATCTTCTATCCCAACCTTTCTCTTGCTCCTCTAATTCCTTGTGAGATTCTTGAACTTTGATTGAACCTTTTGAGATTGAGTTAAGTTCTCCTCCTACAGCTTACCCCCTAGTGCGTCGAAAGCCATAGCGTCGCGAATACTTCATCAATCAACATGATTCAAATTGGGAACGGTAGCTGAGATTAAGAGCTACAACATATCCAAGTTTCGCGACATTCCAACGGCTAGTTTTTCGTCGACGTCGTTTCTTGTGAAGACGACTTTTCTGTCCAGAATTTCGGATTTATATTTTGAGTAATTCTAGCTCCTAAGTTCACCTAGACTCCGTCCTTAATCCTAACAGAACCTCGGGTCCAAGATCCAAATGGTTTGGGAGCGACGGCGTTTCAACTTTTGCCCCAAGTACGAGTTTCGTGAGCATTTTCCCATAAAAGCACATGCTCTTCCTACCTTTGTCGCACTTTTCCACCAAGCTGTATGCCATTTTTTTTTGCATGGCTAGTTAGTGCATGGTCTGTAGAGCATGCAGCTTGAACCTCGGGTACAAGATCCAAACGGTTTGGGAGCGACGGCGTTTCAACTTTTGCCCCAAGTACGAGTTTCGTGAGCATTTTCTCATAAAAGCACATGCTCTTCCTACCTTTGTCGCACTTTTCCACCAAGCTGTATGCCATTTGTTTTTGCATGGCTAGTTAGTGCATGGTCTCTAGAGCATGCAGCTTGAACCTCGGGTCCAACATCCAAATGGTTTGGGAGCGACGGCGTTTCAACTTTTGCCCCAAGTACGAGTTTCGTGAGCATTTTCCCATAAAAGCACATGCTCTTCCTACCCTTGTCACACTTTTCCACCAAGCTGTATGCCATTTGTTTTTGCATGGCTAGTTATTGCATGGTCTCTAGAGCATGCAGCTTGAACCTCGGGTCCAAGATCCAAATGGTTTGGGAGCGACGGCGTTTCAACTTTTGCCCCAAGTACGAGTTTCGTGAGCATTTTCCCATAAAAGCACATGCTCTTCCTACCTTTGTCGCACTTTTCCACCAAGCTGTATGCCATTTGTTTTTGCATGGCTAGTTAGTGCATGGTCTGTAGAGCATGCAGCTTGAACCTCGGGTCCAAGATCCAAATGGTTTGGGAGCGACGGCGTTTCAACTTTTGCCCCAAGTACGAGTTTCGTAAGCATTTTCCCATAAAAGCACATGCTCTTCCTACCTTTGTCGCACTTTTCCACCAAGCTGTATGCCATTTTTTTTTGCATGGCTAATAAGTGCATGGTCTCTAGAGCATGCAGCTTGAACCTCGGGTCCAAGATCCAAATGGTTTGGGAGCGACGGCGTTTCAACTTTTGCCCCAAGTACGAGTTTCGTGAGCATTTTCCCATAAAAGCACATGCTCTTCCTACCTTTGTCGCACTTTTCCACCAAGCTGTATGCCATTTGTTTTTGCATGGCTAGTTAGTGCATGGTCTCTAGAGCATGCAGCTTGAACCTCGGGTCCAACATCCAAATGGTTTGGGAGCGACGGCGTTTCAACTTTTGCCCCAAGTACGAGTTTCGTGAGCATTTTCCCATAAAAGCACATGCTCTTCCTACCTTTGTCGCACTTTTCCACCAAGCTGTATGCCATTTGTTTTTGCATGGCTAGTTAGTGCATGGTCTCTAGAGCATGCAGCTTGAACCTCGGGTCCAAGATCCAAATGGTTTGGGAGCGACGGCGTTTCAACTTTTGCCCCAAGTACGAGTTTCGTGAGCATTTTCCCATAAAAGCACATGCTCTTCCTACCTTTGTCGCACTTTTCCACCAAGCTGTATGCCATTTTTTTTTGCATGGCTAATTAGTGCATGGTCTCTAGAGCATGCAGCTTGAACCTCGGGTCCAAGATCCAAATGGTTTGGGAGCGACGGCGTTTCAACTTTTGCCCCAAGTACGAGTTTCGTGAGCATTTTCCCATAAAAGCACATGCTCTTCCTACCTTTGTCGCACTTTTCCACCAAGCTGTATGCCATTTTTTTTGCATGGCTAGTTAGTGCATGGTCTCTAGAGCATGCAGCTTGAACCTCGGGTCCAAGATCCAAATGGTTTGGGAGCGACGGCGTTTCAACTTTTGCCCCAAGTACGAGTTTCGTGAGCATTTTCCCATAAAAGCACATGCTCTTCCTACCTTTGTCGCACTTTTCCACCAAGCTGTATGCCATTTTTTTTTGCATGGCTAGTTAGTGCATGGTCTCTAGAGCATGCAGCTTGAACCTCGGGTCCAAGATCCAAATGGTTTGGGAGCGACGGCGTTTCAACTTTTGCCCCAAGTACGAGTTTCGTGAGCATTTTCCCATAAAAGCACATGCTCTTCCTACCTTTGTCGCACTTTTCCACCAAGCTGTATGCCATTTGTTTTTGCATGGCTAGTTAGTGCATGGTCTCTAGAGCATGCAGCTTGAACCTCGGGTCCAAGATCCAAATGGTTTGGGAGCGACGGCGTTTCAACTTTTGCCCCAAGTACGAGTTTCGTGAGCATTTTCCCATAAAAGCACATGCTCTTCCTACCTTTGTCGCACTTTTCCACCAAGCTGTATGCCATTTTTTTTGCATGGCTAGTTAGTGCATGGTCTCTAGAGCATGCAGCTTGAACCTCGGGTCCAAGATCCAAATGGTTTGGGAGCGACGGCGTTTCAACTTTTGCCCCAAGTACGAGTTTCGTGAGCATTTTCCCATAAAAGCACATGCTCTTCCTACCTTTGTCGCACTTTTCCACCAAGCTGTATGCCATTTTTTTTTGCATGGCTAGTTAGTGCATGGTCTCTAGAGCATGCAGCTTGAACCTCGGGTCCAAGATCCAAATGGTTTGGGAGCGACGGCGTTTCAACTTTTGCCCCAAGTACGAGTTTCGTGAGCATTTTCCCATAAAAGCACATGCTCTTCCTACCTTTGTCGCACTTTTCCACCAAGCTGTATGCCATTTTTTTTTGCATGGCTAGTTAGTGCATGGTCTCTAGAGCATGCAGCTTGAACCTCGGGTCCAAGATCCAAATGGTTTGGGAGCGACGGCGTTTCAACTTTTGCCCCAAGTACGAGTTTCGTGAGCATTTTCCCATAAAAGCACATGCTCTTCCTACCTTTGTCGCACTTTTCCACCAAGCTGTATGCCATTTTTTTTTGCATGGCTAATTAGTGCATGGTCTCTAGAGCATGCAGCTTGAACCTCGGGTCCAAGATCCAAATGGTTTGGGAGCGACGGCGTTTCAACTTTTGCCCCAAGTACGAGTTTCGTGAGCATTTTCCCATAAAAGCACATGCTCTTCCTACCTTTGTCGCACTTTTCCACCAAGCTGTATGCCATTTTTTTTGCATGGCTAGTTAGTGCATGGTCTCTAGAGCATGCAGCTTGAACCTCGGGTCCAAGATCCAAATGGTTTGGGAGCGACGGCGTTTCAACTTTTGCCCCAAGTACGAGTTTCGTGAGCATTTTCCCATAAAAGCACATGCTCTTCCTACCTTTGTCGCACTTTTCCACCAAGCTGTATGCCATTTTTTTTTGCATGGCTAGTTAGTGCATGGTCTCTAGAGCATGCAGCTTGAACCTCGGGTCCAAGATCCAAATGGTTTGGGAGCGACGGCGTTTCAACTTTTGCCCCAAGTACGAGTTTCGTGAGCATTTTCCCATAAAAGCACATGCTCTTCCTACCTTTGTCGCACTTTTCCACCAAGCTGTATGCCATTTTTTTTGCATGGCTAGTTAGTGCATGGTCTCTAGAGCATGCAGCTTGAACCTCGGGTCCAAGATCCAAATGGTTTGGGAGCGACGGCGTTTCAACTTTTGCCCCAAGTACGAGTTTCGTGAGCATTTTCCCATAAAAGCACATGCTCTTCCTACCTTTGTCGCACTTTTCCACCAAGCTGTATGCCATTTTTTTTGCATGGCTAGTTAGTGCATGGTCTCTAGAGCATGCAGCTTGAACCTCGGGTCCAAGATCCAAATGGTTTGGGAGCGACGGCGTTTCAACTTTTGCCCCAAGTACGAGTTTCGTGAGCATTTTCCCATAAAAGCACATGCTCTTCCTACCTTTGTCGCACTTTTCCACCAAGCTGTATGCCATTTTTTTTTGCATGGCTAGTTAGTGCATGGTCTCTAGAGCATGCAGCTTGAACCTCGGGTCCAAGATCCAAATGGTTTGGGAGCGACGGCGTTTCAACTTTTGCCCCAAGTACGAGTTTCGTGAGCATTTTCCCATAAAAGCACATGCTCTTCCTACCTTTGTCGCACTTTTCCACCAAGCTGTATGCCATTTTTTTTTGCATGGCTAGTTAGTGCATGGTCTCTAGAGCATGCAGCTTGAACCTCGGGTCCAAGATCCAAATGGTTTGGGAGCGACGGCGTTTCAACTTTTGCCCCAAGTACGAGTTTCGTGAGCATTTTCCCATAAAAGCACATGCTCTTCCTACCTTTGTCGCACTTTTCCACCAAGCTGTATGCCATTTTTTTTGCATGGCTAGTTAGTGCATGGTCTCTAGAGCATGCAGCTTGAACCTCGGGTCCAAGATCCAAATGGTTTGGGAGCGACGGCGTTTCAACTTTTGCCCCAAGTACGAGTTTCGTGAGCATTTTCCCATAAAAGCACATGCTCTTCCTACCTTTGTCGCACTTTTCCACCAAGCTGTATGCCATTTTTTTTTGCATGGCTAGTTAGTGCATGGTCTCTAGAGCATGCAGCTTGAACCTCGGGTCCAAGATCCAAATGGTTTGGGAGCGACGGCGTTTCAACTTTTGCCCCAAGTACGAGTTTCGTGAGCATTTTCCCATAAAAGCACATGCTCTTCCTACCTTTGTCGCACTTTTCCACCAAGCTGTATGCCATTTTTTTTTGCATGGCTAGTTAGTGCATGGTCTCTAGAGCATGCAGCTTGAACCTCGGGTCCAAGATCCAAATGGTTTGGGAGCGACGGCGTTTCAACTTTTGCCCCAAGTACGAGTTTCGTGAGCATTTTCCCATAAAAGCACATGCTCTTCCTACCTTTGTCGCACTTTTCCACCAAGCTGTATGCCATTTTTTTTTGCATGGCTAGTTAGTGCATGGTCTCTAGAGCATGCAGCTTGAACCTCGGGTCCAAGATCCAAATGGTTTGGGAGCGACGGCGTTTCAACTTTTGCCCCAAGTACGAGTTTCGTGAGCATTTTCCCATAAAAGCACATGCTCTTCCTACCTTTGTCGCACTTTTCCACCAAGCTGTATGCCATTTTTTTTTGCATGGCTAGTTAGTGCATGGTCTCTAGAGCATGCAGCTTGAACCTCGGGTCCAAGATCCAAATGGTTTGGGAGCGACGGCGTTTCAACTTTTGCCCCAAGTACGAGTTTCGTGAGCATTTTCCCATAAAAGCACATGCTCTTCCTACCTTTGTCGCACTTTTCCACCAAGCTGTATGCCATTTTTTTTGCATGGCTAGTTAGTGCATGGTCTCTAGAGCATGCAGCTTGAACCTCGGGTCCAAGATCCAAATGGTTTGGGAGCGACGGCGTTTCAACTTTTGCCCCAAGTACGAGTTTCGTGAGCATTTTCCCATAAAAGCACATGCTCTTCCTACCTTTGTCGCACTTTTCCACCAAGCTGTATGCCATTTTTTTTTGCATGGCTAGTTAGTGCATGGTCTCTAGAGCATGCAGCTTGAACCTCGGGTCCAAGATCCAAATGGTTTGGGAGCGACGGCGTTTCAACTTTTGCCCCAAGTACGAGTTTCGTGAGCATTTTCCCATAAAAGCACATGCTCTTCCTACCTTTGTCGCACTTTTCCACCAAGCTGTATGCCATTTTTTTTTGCATGGCTAGTTAGTGCATGGTCTCTAGAGCATGCAGCTTGAACCTCGGGTCCAAGATCCAAATGGTTTGGGAGCGACGGCGTTTCAACTTTTGCCCCAAGTACGAGTTTCGTGAGCATTTTCCCATAAAAGCACATGCTCTTCCTACCTTTGTCGCACTTTTCCACCAAGCTGTATGCCATTTTTTTTGCATGGCTAGTTAGTGCATGGTCTCTAGAGCATGCAGCTTGAACCTCGGGTCCAAGATCCAAATGGTTTGGGAGCGACGGCGTTTCAACTTTTGCCCCAAGTACGAGTTTCGTGAGCATTTTCCCATAAAAGCACATGCTCTTCCTACCTTTGTCGCACTTTTCCACCAAGCTGTATGCCATTTTTTTTGCATGGCTAGTTAGTGCATGGTCTTAGAGCATGCAGCTTGAACCTCGGGTCCAAGATCCAAATGGTTTGGGAGCGACGGCGTTTCAACTTTTGCCCCAAGTACGAGTTTCGTGAGCATTTTCCCATAAAAGCACATGCTCTTCCTACCTTTGTCGCACTTTTCCACCAAGCTGTATGCCATTTTTTTTTGCATGGCTAGTTAGTGCATGGTCTGTAGAGCATGCAGCTTGAACCTCGGGTCCAAGATCCAAATGGTTTGGGAGCGACGGCGTTTCAACTTTTGCCCCAAGTACGAGTTTCGTGAGCATTTTCCCATAAAAGCACATGCTCTTCCTACCTTTGTCGCACTTTTCCACCAAGCTGTATGCCATTTTTTTTGCATGGCTAGTTAGTGCATGGTCTCTAGAGCATGCAGCTTGAACCTCGGGTCCAAGATCCAAATGGTTTGGGAGCGACGGCGTTTCAACTTTTGCCCCAAGTACGAGTTTCGTGAGCATTTTCCCATAAAAGCACATGCTCTTCCTACCTTTGTCGCACTTTTCCACCAAGCTGTATGCCATTTTTTTTGCATGGCTAGTTAGTGCATGGTCTGTAGAGCATGCAGCTTGAACCTCGGGTCCAAGATCCAAATGGTTTGGGAGCGACGGCGTTTCAACTTTTGCCCCAAGTACGAGTTTCGTGAGCATTTTCCCATAAAAGCACATGCTCTTCCTACCTTTGTCGCACTTTTCCACCAAGCTGTATGCCATTTGTTTTTGCATGGCTAGTTAGTGCATGGTCTGTAGAGCATGCAGCTTGAACCTCGGGTCCAAGATCCAAATGGTTTGGGAGCGACGGCGTTTCAACTTTTGCCCCAAGTACGAGTTTCGTGAGCATTTTCCCATAAAAGCACATGCTCTTCCTACCTTTGTCGCACTTTTCCACCAAGCTGTATGCCATTTTTTTTTGCATGGCTAGTTAGTGCATGGTCTGTAGAGCATGCTGTTGTGTGATGTTATCATATGCTATCACATTCTGTCTGCCTCCCATCCCTTGTTTCAATTCGCATGTGTGGTTTGACTGTGTGCAAGAATTTGTGTGGTGTGTTCTGGAGTTTGGGAATGTGTTTTGTGTTATTCTGTTTGAGCAGGTATTTGTGATGATAGATCTTGAGAAGATCTTTCCGACGCAACAAGAATCGCTTCAATCGGAGCAAGAACGCGAAAGCTATGAAGATTCAAAGTTCATGAGCTTGCGTTACAATTGCGGCGGTTACTAAGTGAAGTTGTGGGGTGACTTTATATGGAGTTGGGACCTTTGGGGTTGGGGAAACTTGTCACTCTACTGTAACAGCTGCAAATAGGTTGGGAACAACCAAGCTAGGTTGGCAAGGGTGGCCAACTTGGATGGATTGGTTGGGAAGGGACAAAGGTCAAAGTTGAGGTTCCTATAGGGAGGGAATCTTTGTGCTTATGGGGTTTCCTTGGTTGGGGACTCTCTTGGGACCTTCCCTCTCATCCCTCTCTTCCTATCCCAACCTTTCTCTTGCTCCTTCTAATTCCTTGTGAGATTCTTGAACTTTGATTGAACCTTTGAGATTGAGTTAAGTTCTCCTCCTACAGCTTACCCCCTAGTGCGTCGAAAGCCATAGCGTCGCGAATACTTCATCAATCAACATGATTCAAATTGGGAACGGTAGCTGAGATTAAGAGCTACAACATATCCAAGTTTCGCGACATTCCAACGGCTAGTTTTTCGTCGACGTCGTTTCTTGTGAAGACGACTTTTCTGTCCAGAATTTCGGATTTATATTTTGAGTAATTCTAGCTCCTAAGTTCACCTAGACTCCGTCCTTAATCCTAACAAGTGGTATCAGAGCTGTATTAAGGACGTTGAGAGGAGTCTACAGAAGTGTGAAGACCCTTCTAGACCCACCATGGCCTGTGGGTGTGCCTAAGTGGTGTTCTAAAGGTTGGATGTGTCTTCCGCTAAGGGAAACTCTGCCGAAATTTCGTGGACGCCGACACTTGTGAAAATATCGAGGGAGCTGAGTGTGGACAGCAAAGGGGGCTGAAATTCGTCATTTCTCAAGGAGAAGATGAATGAGAGAGGAGGAGATGCTAATGGAAGAGGAGCTGTAGCTGAGAAGACAAGTGAGCCGCCGCCATCAAAAGTTGAAGCTTTGGATGGCTCCAACTATGAGGAATGGAGCGGACGGATGAGGAGTGCCTTCAAACGCTACAAGCTACTGAAGATTGCTGTTGGGGAAGAGAAGATGCCGGAAGAAGGCGAAGCACGTGAACGGTGGATTGAGAAAAGCGCGGTGCTTTTCGACCTCATCCTTCAATCGGTCAACAAGGAGATGTTCGAGCACATCAAGGATCTTGTGGAAGCGGATGATTCGGGTCCAAGGGCGTGGAAACTACTACGCGATGTGATTCAGCCCAACACTCTCCGATGGTGATCGTGCTCGAGAAGGAACTTGCTGCCATCTCCATGCGACCAGGGGACGATGTGAAGCCGGTCCTTGACAAGATCAAGGACACCTATGCAAGGATGGCAGCAGCGGGCAGCAGTGTATCTCAGCTGCAGCAGTGCACCAAGATCATCTCGGTGTTGGACAACTCGTGGGACAACCTCATCCCCACCCTCAACTCTCAGCAAGATCAATGGACACCTGAGTGGCTAAGGCAGCAGATTCTGCAGGAGGACTTCCGCAGACGCCATGTGGGAGGCGGTGCTGCCACTAAGACTGCTGAGGGGTATGGAGCTGCAGGGCGCGGCAGAGGAAGAGGGGGTTGGAGAGGCCGAGGCCGTGGGAGGAGCTTTGGCAGAGGTAGAGGCCGAGGTGACTATAATGAGGGGCATGGGAGCTCTAGTGGCAGGGGGAGTACCAGAATGGAGGGCACCTGCTGGTACTGCAAGAAGGTCGGGCATCCTTGGTTCAAGTGCTTCAGCAGGCCGGAGGGATGGGCACCTCCAGGCATGAAGCCGCCCAGTGGTGAACGCGCACAAGGTGGCGCTGTGCAAGGCTCAGGTGCACAAGGTGAAGGTGCACAAGGTAATGCCTATCCTGGATGTTTCTCATGGTTGAGGATGTGCATGGGCATGAGGGTGATGTGGGATCTGTGGGAAAGGTTGTGATGCACCCTCTCACGCACTGGGTGATTGATTCGGGTTGCACCAGTCACATGACCCCACGGGCAGATTTGCTTGATGAGGTAAAACCCCCTGGGAAGATCAAGTATGTGGCAGCAGCGTCAGGTGCTTTGCTCCCTGTGATTGGTGTTGGGAATGCCAAGGTTAAGGGAGCTAATGGGGAGCTTGTGGGGCTTGGGAATGTTCTGCTGGTTGAAGGCTTGTCTGCTAACCTTCTCTCTGTGCGGCGACTGCAGAAGAGCAAGGCCGAAGTGACCTTTGGACCAACCAGCTGCCGTGCTAAGCTTGGGAAGAAGGTGCTGTGGAGTCTGGAAGAGGAGACCAGCTGCATCAAGGACCTGTGGCAGCTGCCCATCATCCCATGGAATGGGAAGACTCCAACAGCAGCAACGGCAGCAGCGGCAAAGGCAACAGCAGGAGGAGATGCAACTGCACCAACTGATGGGGTCCTGGAAGCAGTCAAGAAAGTGCAGCAGCAGCAGACACATGGTGAGGTGCTTGCTGGTGTGGATGCGAGTGCGGCATGGGCTAAGGCTTCATCAAGGAGTGGAGAGGCCGATTGGGAGACATGGCATGAGAGGCTGTGTCATGTGAACTTCCCTATGCTGCAGAAGTTGGTGAAGGATGGGAGCCTGAAGGGCTTGGAGGTGAAAGGGGGAGTGAAGGAGATTGGGAGCTGCCCTACATGCTTGGAGACCAAGTTCTCCAAGTTCCCCTTCAACAGCACTACAGGACCAGCCAAGACCCCACTTGCACTTGTGCACATGGATGTGGTGGGGCCCACAAGAGCCCCTTCCCTCTCAGGCAGCCGCTATTTCTTGACAATTGTGGATGACCACACTCGGGCAGTGTGGGTTTACCCTTTGAAGAGCAAGGGGGAGGTGGCAGCGGCTGTCCTTAAGGAGTGGATGCCTAGAGCTCAGAGGGAATGCGGACACAAGGTGAAGGTGATCCGCAGTGACAATGGTGGGGAGTTCATTGGAGCTGATTTTGAGGGGGAGTTGAAGAGGAAGGGGATCCAGCATCAACTGACAGTGCCCTACAACCCGCAGCAGAATGGCGTGGCTGAGAGGTTCAACAGGACCCTGCAGGAGGGGGCACGCACTCTCCTTGGGCGTGCAGGGCTGCCTGATCCGTTTTGGGTGTCTGCACTGAGGCAGGTCGCCCTTGTGAAGAACAGGGTGCTGGCTACAGTTGGAGATAAGGAGTGGATCCCATATGCCAAGTGGTATGGGAGTGCTCCAGCTGTGAACATGCTGAGGGCATTTGGGTGCATGGTGGTGTTTCATGTGCCTAAGGAGAAAAGGGGGAAGTTGGAGGCTTCTGGAAGATGGGGTGTGCACTTGGGGATTGCAAAGGATCACAAGGGGTGGCTGCTATGGGACTTGACCACCCAGAAGTTGACAGTGTCAAGGGATGTGAAGTTTCTTGAGTCCCTGTACTACAAGGAATGGAAGCAGCAGCAACAGAAGCTTCCATCTACACCGCTCATTGTGGAGGCAGATGAGGTGCAGCAGCCTTCAAGACAGGTGGAGGTTGCAGTGTCAGAGGAGGAGATGTCTGGGGTGACTGAGGAAGGGGGAGCAGCTGAAGTGGAGCAGCAGCAGCAGAGCAGCAGCAGCATGAGTCTCCACCTCGAGTTCCACACCCGCCTGAGCGTCCTAGGAGGGATGTGCGCCCTCCTGTGAGGCTGACCTATGGGGGAAGAGGCAAGCCGAATGTGGTGCAGGCTGGGAGTGTGGTTGAGCAGATTGAGGAAGATGAGATCGCTCACTGCTACTGGGCACCAATCCCTGAGCCCAAGACTCGAGAGGAGGCCTTGAATGGACCAAATGGGGAGAAGTGGAAGGCGAGTGAGGATGAGGAGTTCGGGTCCCTGATTGAGAACGAGACATGGGACCTGTGTGACTTGCCTCCTGGAAAGAAGGCAATCACTTCCAAGATGATCTACAGGCACAAGTATGGACCTGAAGGGGAGCTGACCCGCTACAAGTCTAGGCTTGTGGCACGGGGGTTTCAGCAGACAAAGGGGAAGGACTATGATGAGGTGTTTGCTCCTGTGGGGAAAGGAACAACACTGAGGGTGCTGTTGGCGATAGCTGCACTCCTGGGATGGAAGATACGGCAGATGGACATTGTGACTGCCTTTCTGAATGGGATCATTCTGGAGGAGGTGTACATGAAGCAGCCAGAGGGGCTGGATGATGGGAGCGGCAGGGTCTGCAGGCTGAAGAAGGCCATCTATGGCCTTAAGCAGGCGCCTCGTGCATGGTATCACAAGTTGGAGGAGGCGCTGTTGGCTGGGGGTTTCAAGAAGAGTGAGTGTGACCCCAGCCTGTTCCTGCTGCAGGAGAAGGATGAAATCCTCATGCTCTTGGTGTACGTGGATGATATCCTTCTCTTTTCTGCATCAACTGCTTTGCTGGACAGCGCAGAGCAGATGCTGGAGATGCAGTTCAAGTGCTCCAAGATGGGTGAGGTGAAGTACTACTTGGGGATGCACGTGGAGAGAGATGTGGAGAAGGGTGTGCTGAGGTTGCACCAGAGGAAGTACTGTGAGGGGCTGGCTGAGAAGTATGGGCTGCAAGATGGGGGAAAGCCAGCAACACCACTACCTTCGGGGTTCACTGTGGAGCCATGTGCTGATGAGGAGGTAGTGGGTGAGAGTGACAGGAAGCTGTTTCATTCGATGGTTGGGTCGCTGAATTATGCTGCAAATCATACACGGCCTGACATTGCATTTGCTACATCACGGTTGGCTAGTGTGGTCTCACGCCCTAGTCATGAGCAGCTGGAAGCGGCCAAGAGGTTGGTCCGCTATGTGAGTGCTACGGCATCAGTGGGATTGGAGTACAGTGGAGTGAGGCAGCGGTTGCAGAGAGGTGCTGCAGATGTGAAGAGTGGAGAGATGCTCTTGAGTTGCTATACTGACGCTAGCTTCAACTCAGTGAAAGCGGATGGCACCAGCATTGGGGGTTATGTGTGCTTGCTAGGAGGTGGTGCTGTGAGCTGGCGCAGCAAGAAGCAGAATGAGGTGGGATTGTCCTCATGTGAGACTGAGTACATGGCCTTACACCATGGGGCCAAGGAAGTGTGTGGCTAAGGCGTTTGTTGGAGGAGTTGGGAGTTGGTCAGGAGGAGCCGACAGTTGTGTTTTGTGACAATGAGTCCGCTGTGAAGCTCGCCAAGAATGCTTGTCTGCATGGGCTGACAAAACACATAAGGCCTAAGTGGCATTGGGTGAGGAGACTCCTTGATAAGGAGGTGCGGCTGGAGATAGTGAAGACCCATCAGCAGGCAGCAGATATTTTCACCAAGCGTCTGGCGGAGGCGGATCATTGGAAGGGCATGAAGCTTGCTGGGATGAGTGTGCATTGAGTATGCATGCTTGAGATGTGGTATGGTGGATGATGGTTGGCAGCCAGAGGGGGAGATTGTTGTGTGATGTCATCATATGCTATCACATTCTGTCTGCCTCCCATCCCATGTTTTCAACTTGCATGTGTGGTTTGAACGTGTGCAAGAATTTGTGTGTGTGTGTTCTGGAGTTTGGGAATGTGTTTTGTGTTATTTTGTTTGAGCAGGTATTTGTGATGATAGATCTTGAGAAGATCTTTCCGACGCAACAAGAATCGCTTCAATCGGAGCAAGAACGCGAAAGCTATGAAGATTCAAAGTTCATGAGCTTGCGTTACAATTGCGGCGGTTACAAAGTGAAGTTGTGGGGTGACTTTATATGGAGTTGGGACCTTTGGGGTTGGGGAAATTGTCACTCTACTGTAACAGCTGCAAATTGGTTGGGAACAACCAAGCTAGGTTGGCAAGGGTGGCCAACTTGGATGGATTGGTTGGGAAGGGACAAAGGTCAAAGTTGGGGTTCCTATAGGGAGGGAATCTTTGTGCTTATGGGGTTTCCTTGGTTGGGGACTCTCTTGGGACCTTCCCTCTCATCCCTCTCTTCCTATCCCAACCTTTCTCTTGCTCCTTCTAATTCCTTGTGAGATTCTTGAACTTTGATTGAACCTTTTGAGATTGAGTTAAGTTCTCCTCCTACAGCTTACCCCCTAGTGCGTCGAAAGCCATAGCGTCGCGAATACTTCATCAATCAACATGATTCAAATTGGGAACGGTAGCTGAGATTAAGAGCTACAACATATCCAAGTTTCGCGACATTCCAACGGCTAGTTTTTCGTCGACGTCGTTTCTTGTGAAGACGACTTTTCTGTCCAGAATTTCGGATTTATATTTTGAGTAATTCTAGCTCCTAAGTTCACCTAGACTCCGTCCTTAATCCTAACAGAACCTCGGGTCCAAGATCCAAATGGTTTGGGAGCGACGGCGTTTCAACTTTTGCCCCAAGTACGAGTTTCGTGAGCATTTTCCATAAAAGCACATGCTCTTCCTACCTTTGTCGCACTTTTCCACCAAGCTGTATGCCATTTTTTTTTGCATGGCTAGTTAGTGCATGGTCTCTAGAGCATGCAGCTTGAACCTCGGGTCCAAGATCCAAATGGTTTGGGAGCGACGGCGTTTCAACTTTTGCCCCAAGTACGAGTTTCGTGAGCATTTTCCCATAAAAGCACATGCTCTTCCTACCTTTGTCGCACTTTTCCACCAAGCTGTATGCCATTTTTTTTTGCATGGCTAGTTAGTGCATGGTCTCTAGAGCATGCAGCTTGAACCTCGGGTCCAAGATCCAAATGGTTTGGGAGCGACGGCGTTTCAACTTTTGCCCCAAGTACGAGTTTCGTGAGCATTTTCCCATAAAAGCACATGCTCTTCCTACCTTTGTCGCACTTTTCCACCAAGCTGTATGCCATTTTTTTTTGCATGGCTAGTTAGTGCATGGTCTCTAGAGCATGCAGCTTGAACCTCGGGTCCAAGATCCAAATGGTTTGGGAGCGACGGCGTTTCAACTTTTGCCCCAAGTACGAGTTTCGTGAGCATTTTCCCATAAAAGCACATGCTCTTCCTACCTTTGTCGCACTTTTCCACCAAGCTGTATGCCATTTGTTTTTGCATGGCTAGTTAGTGCATGGTCTGTAGAGCATGCAGCTTGAACCTCGGGTCCAAGATCCAAATGGTTTGGGAGCGACGGCGTTTCAACTTTTGCCCCAAGTACGAGTTTCGTGAGCATTTTCCCATAAAAGCACATGCTCTTCCTACCTTTGTCGCACTTTTCCACCAAGCTGTATGCCATTTTTTTTTGCATGGCTAGTTAGTGCATGGTCTCTAGAGCATGCAGCTTGAACCTCGGGTCCAAGATCCAAATGGTTTGGGAGCGACGGCGTTTCAACTTTTGCCCCAAGTACGAGTTTCGTGAGCATTTTCCCATAAAAGCACATGCTCTTCCTACCTTTGTCGCACTTTTCCACCAAGCTGTATGCCATTTTTTTTTGCATGGCTAGTTAGTGCATGGTCTCTAGAGCATGCAGCTTGAACCTCGGGTCCAAGATCCAAATGGTTTGGGAGCGACGGCGTTTCAACTTTTGCCCCAAGTACGAGTTTCGTGAGCATTTTCCCATAAAAGCACATGCTCTTCCTACCTTTGTCGCACTTTTCCACCAAGCTGTATGCCATTTTTTTTTGCATGGCTAGTTAGTGCATGGTCTCTAGAGCATGCAGCTTGAACCTCGGGTCCAAGATCCAAATGGTTTGGGAGCGACGGCGTTTCAACTTTTGCCCCAAGTACGAGTTTCGTGAGCATTTTCCCATAAAAGCACATGCTCTTCCTACCTTTGTCGCACTTTTCCACCAAGCTGTATGCCATTTTTTTTTGCATGGCTAATTAGTGCATGGTCTCTAGAGCATGCAGCTTGAACCTCGGGTCCAAGATCCAAATGGTTTGGGAGCGACGGCGTTTCAACTTTTGCCCCAAGTACGAGTTTCGTGAGCATTTTCCCATAAAAGCACATGCTCTTCCTACCTTTGTCGCACTTTTCCACCAAGCTGTATGCCATTTTTTTTTGCATGGCTAGTTAGTGCATGGTCTCTAGAGCATGCAGCTTGAACCTCGGGTCCAAGATCCAAATGGTTTGGGAGCGACGGCGTTTCAACTTTTGCCCCAAGTACGAGTTTCGTGAGCATTTTCCCATAAAAGCACATGCTCTTCCTACCTTTGTCGCACTTTTCCACCAAGCTGTATGCCATTTTTTTTTGCATGGCTATTAGTGCATGGTCTCTAGAGCATGCAGCTTGAACCTCGGGTCCAAGATCCAAATGGTTTGGGAGCGACGGCGTTTCAACTTTTGCCCCAAGTACGAGTTTCGTGAGCATTTTCCCATAAAAGCACATGCTCTTCCTACCTTTGTCGCACTTTTCCACCAAGCTGTATGCCATTTTTTTTGCATGGCTAGTTAGTGCATGGTCTCTAGAGCATGCAGCTTGAACCTCGGGTCCAAGATCCAAATGGTTTGGGAGCGACGGCGTTTCAACTTTTGCCCCAAGTACGAGTTTCGTGAGCATTTTCCCATAAAAGCACATGCTCTTCCTACCTTTGTCGCACTTTTCCACCAAGCTGTATGCCATTTTTTTTGCATGGCTAGTTAGTGCATGGTCTCTAGAGCATGCAGCTTGAACCTCGGGTCCAAGATCCAAATGGTTTGGGAGCGACGGCGTTTCAACTTTTGCCCCAAGTACGAGTTTCGTGAGCATTTTCCCATAAAAGCACATGCTCTTCCTACCTTTGTCGCACTTTTCCACCAAGCTGTATGCCATTTTTTTTGCATGGCTAGTTAGTGCATGGTCTCTAGAGCATGCAGCTTGAACCTCGGGTCCAAGATCCAAATGGTTTGGGAGCGACGGCGTTTCAACTTTTGCCCCAAGTACGAGTTTCGTGAGCATTTTCCCATAAAAGCACATGCTCTTCCTACCTTTGTCGCACTTTTCCACCAAGCTGTATGCCATTTTTTTTTGCATGGCTAGTTAGTGCATGGTCTCTAGAGCATGCAGCTTGAACCTCGGGTCCAAGATCCAAATGGTTTGGGAGCGACGGCGTTTCAACTTTTGCCCCAAGTACGAGTTTCGTGAGCATTTTCCCATAAAAGCACATGCTCTTCCTACCTTTGTCGCACTTTTCCACCAAGCTGTATGCCATTTTTTTTTGCATGGCTAGTTAGTGCATGGTCTCTAGAGCATGCAGCTTGAACCTCGGGTCCAAGATCCAAATGGTTTGGGAGCGACGGCGTTTCAACTTTTGCCCCAAGTACGAGTTTCGTGAGCATTTTCCCATAAAAGCACATGCTCTTCCTACCTTTGTCGCACTTTTCCACCAAGCTGTATGCCATTTTTTTTTGCATGGCTAGTTAGTGCATGGTCTCTAGAGCATGCAGCTTGAACCTCGGGTCCAAGATCCAAATGGTTTGGGAGCGACGGCGTTTCAACTTTTGCCCCAAGTACGAGTTTCGTGAGCATTTTCCCATAAAAGCACATGCTCTTCCTACCTTTGTCGCACTTTTCCACCAAGCTGTATGCCATTTTTTTTTGCATGGCTAGTTAGTGCATGGTCTCTAGAGCATGCAGCTTGAACCTCGGGTCCAAGATCCAAATGGTTTGGGAGCGACGGCGTTTCAACTTTTGCCCCAAGTACGAGTTTCGTGAGCATTTTCCCATAAAAGCACATGCTCTTCCTACCTTTGTCGCACTTTTCCACCAAGCTGTATGCCATTTTTTTTTGCATGGCTAGTTAGTGCATGGTCTCTAGAGCATGCAGCTTGAACCTCGGGTCCAAGATCCAAATGGTTTGGGAGCGACGGCGTTTCAACTTTTGCCCCAAGTACGAGTTTCGTGAGCATTTTCCCATAAAAGCACATGCTCTTCCTACCTTTGTCGCACTTTTCCACCAAGCTGTATGCCATTTTTTTTTGCATGGCTAGTTAGTGCATGGTCTCTAGAGCATGCAGCTTGAACCTCGGGTCCAAGATCCAAATGGTTTGGGAGCGACGGCGTTTCAACTTTTGCCCCAAGTACGAGTTTCGTGAGCATTTTCCCATAAAAGCACATGCTCTTCCTACCTTTGTCGCACTTTTCCACCAAGCTGTATGCCATTTTTTTTTGCATGGCTAGTTAGTGCATGGTCTCTAGAGCATGCAGCTTGAACCTCGGGTCCAAGATCCAAATGGTTTGGGAGCGACGGCGTTTCAACTTTTGCCCCAAGTACGAGTTTCGTGAGCATTTTCCCATAAAAGCACATGCTCTTCCTACCTTTGTCGCACTTTTCCACCAAGCTGTATGCCATTTTTTTTTGCATGGCTAGTTAGTGCATGGTCTCTAGAGCATGCAGCTTGAACCTCGGGTCCAAGATCCAAATGGTTTGGGAGCGACGGCGTTTCAACTTTTGCCCCAAGTACGAGTTTCGTGAGCATTTTCCCATAAAAGCACATGCTCTTCCTACCTTTGTCGCACTTTTCCACCAAGCTGTATGCCATTTTTTTTTGCATGGCTAGTTAGTGCATGGTCTCTAGAGCATGCAGCTTGAACCTCGGGTCCAAGATCCAAATGGTTTGGGAGCGACGGCGTTTCAACTTTTGCCCCAAGTACGAGTTTCGTGAGCATTTTCCCATAAAAGCACATGCTCTTCCTACCTTTGTCGCACTTTTCCACCAAGCTGTATGCCATTTTTTTTGCATGGCTAGTTAGTGCATGGTCTCTAGAGCATGCAGCTTGAACCTCGGGTCCAAGATCCAAATGGTTTGGGAGCGACGGCGTTTCAACTTTTGCCCCAAGTACGAGTTTCGTGAGCATTTTCCCATAAAAGCACATGCTCTTCCTACCTTTGTCGCACTTTTCCACCAAGCTGTATGCCATTTTTTTTTGCATGGCTAGTTAGTGCATGGTCTCTAGAGCATGCAGCTTGAACCTCGGGTCCAAGATCCAAATGGTTTGGGAGCGACGGCGTTTCAACTTTTGCCCCAAGTACGAGTTTCGTGAGCATTTTCCCATAAAAGCACATGCTCTTCCTACCTTTGTCGCACTTTTCCACCAAGCTGTATGCCATTTTTTTTGCATGGCTAGTTAGTGCATGGTCTCTAGAGCATGCAGCTTGAACCTCGGTCCAAGATCCAAATGGTTTGGGAGCGACGGCGTTTCAACTTTTGCCCCAAGTACGAGTTTCGTGAGCATTTT